TTTTATTAAGTCTGAGTTGCTAATTACAGGTTTAAAACTTAAAACAGCGAAGAATAGTTGTCAATCACGTCACAATTTTTAGTGCGTAACTGTTTTACCCAAAACCGTTATGAATACGCTCTGAGTTTGTTGAACTGCTGTTCTAATTTTTTGCTGAGGCATCTCTTTGCTGGCATTACGTCATCGTACTTAGGCTATTTGATTTTGCAGATGCAAAGTTCAGATTTTTAAAATGTATACCATAGAACTAAATGATTGAAGCTTTTTTTTTTCGACTCACTAACTCAAGGCGTATTTTTTGAAACTGGTTCTAGGAGAAAAAAAATTTCTGCATTATCAACTGTACCAAAGTCTGTAGACATGCTGCTCTTTTTCAAACAGTGTTTAGTCCGAATTGAAGATGTAAGATTAAAAAAAAAAAAAGACCTGTACTTGAACTGCTCAACTTTTATAGAAATAATTTACCGTATACAAACAGTATAGGTATTGGCTCTTGAAATGGTGTAGGTTGCCAAGAACAGCTTAACTTTACTTGCATTATTGCACCCAGAAAAATTTGATTACTAATTGTTTAAATACAACAATCTAGAATTTCTTCATCAATTAATCTTCTTTTATGGCTTTTTCAGGTTTACTTGATACATCTGTTATTCGTTTTCGGCACATTTCTATGGTCACCGTTTCCGATGGTGTTCACCAGTAAACTGCCAATTTTTTTGTTCTGCATTCCGCAACTCCTTTGTTCCTACGCTATTGCACTTTTGATTTCAATAGCAGTGGAGTTTCCAGCGCTAAACTTAGAACGACTGTTTTGGCATCACAGTGGAACAAAAGAACAGCAGATTTTTGACAGTAATAAAGTTGCTGAAGGTTTGTTACGAGTAGACAGTTAGGAAAATATGCCTTTGCTGTTTGTTTGCGCAGTTTTTTTTACAAAACGTAGTACTCAAACGATCTCAATGCAAATGCTGCAGCCAACAGTACAGGTTGGAATCTGCTGTT